TGTTTGCCGCCCTGGCAAAGAAGCCCTCTTAAAGGGGCCCTGAAACACCTTTTTTGAGTAACCATGGGATTAATTCGCTAGAAAAGCGTATGGCCTCACAAATTGAATGCCACAAAATTTTGAGAATCCGTCCGGTGCGAGCCGAGTTTACAAAGATTTGTCACCCGCTGCAATCACATTCTCTCTTCTCTCGTCCCGACAAAAGAGCTCCAGTGGAAGCTGAGGAGGGAGGGATGAGAGGAGCAAACAAAAAACGTCACTCACGCCTCGTGACCTTGAGCATTTTTTTTCTCTTCGATTTCGCGACTTTTTAGCACGATCGCGCGCGTACGCGTGGACAAGTGACGGCATCTCGCGGCGACATCTGTAACAACCGAGCGCACCATGTTCAGTTCAGCCAATGGCTGTAAGATGGACTTACTGGGCACAATTCCGTGATTTGTCGAGAGAAGAGAGAGTTATTTTGAGCCGACTTTGATAATTTATTGTGAATTCCAGGCCGCGTGCTCCATTATAACATTTGGCACGCGTGTTGTCGGGAGCCTCTACTACCGACCGGCAGCATTGTCGGGAGCATCTACTACCGATCGGCAGCGTTTTTTGACCAGTTCAAAAAGTGTTGCAGGGCCCCTTTAACAGCGCCCAAACATCAGGTGTGAACTTGAAAAAAGACACAGGGCCAACACGCTTGGGTAATGTGACATAAGTGTTCACAAAACCCGCGTGCAACTCAATCATATCAATGCAGGCCCCGGTAAAAGTTTCGATTTATCGCTTCAGTCTTCTTTTGGGGCAGCACACTGAACCTTCTTTACGTTGAAATCATGGATAACATGCTTGATTATATTATAGCTTAAGATAGATGGTGTTCTAAGAACATGAAGTTGAGAACAGCAATATGCTACGTTAATATTTTGAGTTTTGAGGCAGATTAAGGCATGGGTGTCCATGGTTAATGAAGATGCATAGTTCGGTAGAACACAATAGGGAGACCGTATACCTAGGCATGAGTAGAATGAAAGCATGAAGCATTTTTTTGACCTGGCACCCATAAATGTCATATCGAAATTGGGCATCTGCCCCCTCTCCACCCACTTAGCACACCGAAATACCTGGCACAATGCACCTGTGGCCACAGCCACCTGCCATATTCAATGCAATATCCCCCTCTACCCCACTCAAGTGAATTTAAGAAGTGCTGCCTCCCACAGAGAAAAAAAATTGTCAAAAAATAAAATAAAGCCCAGCTAAATCATGAGTTTCAGCATCTACAGCCTCGCGTTTACCTGAAACACCACTTTTTATTGCATAATTTAAGCCCAGTCATGCACGAGTGTTGCCACGGCAGAGCACAGCAATATCACACTACCATTAACATTCAGGGTAGTAATGCCACGACGCGCAGGTCATTTTGTCTTCAGCAAGTATCTATAGGACTACCAGAACCTGAATATATGGCTGCACATTTCTGACACAATCTTTGGAGAAACTTGGCTGGAAAAACTTCTATGCTACTTTCATTATTTCACAGGCAAGCGCAAAGCACAATATCATAGATAATATTGCAGCTACAGTTGTGGGAAAACTTTTAACACAACAGCAGGAAATACTACTTCTTTAATAAAGCACACTGGTACATGGTGAAAAGCACTTGTTTAGCAAAGGAGAGGCCTACATGCAAATGAGTGTATGTATTACTTCCTTCCTCACTGTAATTGCTTCCATGTGGCTAGCCACAATATGCATATTATGATGAAATGAAACACAGGTGACATGGCACACTTGACAGCATACAGCCAGTTCGACAGGTTTTAAAAGTTAGTGGCCATAATTCAAGTGAGCTAGCGTACAATCTTGTCTCTCATTTCTAATGAAGGCACCCCGTTGAAATGTTGTGGTTAATGAGTTTAGGCTTCTTGCCATTCAAGATATGACTGGAAGGAAGGTGTCAGTTTATCAACTCTCATCGTAGGAAGCACATGGTTTTGTGACTAATTTGTATTGATGTACACTAAATTTTTGGGGCGACGCTGCTGCTAAAAAAATAGATTTACATTGAAGATGAGACCTACTAGTTCAGTGTCAATGTTTTGTGAAGTATGACATTGCAAGACCACTGATGGTAGAAGGTATAAAGTCGTACAGGTGGGAATTTCTCAGAATGTCAATACAACAGCTGTTCTTATTTTTGCCTTTAATGAAGAATTCAAGTTGTACCATTTTGTGACTCAGCCATCATGACCACAAGGACTTAACGAGCCAAAGAGCACACAGCTGTGACCACATGCCACGTCTCACAGTTCATACCTTCCTTGAATATTCATCTTCCATTTCTCAAAGGCTGCATTAACAGAGCAACCATTGGAAACTATTGAAAACTGAAACCATTGAACACCCACTAGTTAACAGCTGCACTGGAAGCAGTGCAGCTCTTAAGTCCATTGGAGTAAAAAAAAAATCTGTACAGAGCATCAAAAGCTACATTTCTATACTACATGGCTACTGCTTGGTTGTCATTGTGTATAATACCACCATACGATTCTGCTATAGCTAACAACTAATTAAAGGAGGCACAACCCTTTCAAAGCTGTGCTGTTTCTGCTCTATCTCATTAGGATAAAAACTTGGCATGCTGGTTTAGCAGATTCTGGGGTGAAAGGTGCCCTGATGACGGCAGAGAAAAGGTAGATTTGTGCGTGTTTCCCTTATGACCATCATTGCTGAGCAGCCCTCCACCTCAGGCTATGTTCTATGTTCTTACTCATTCCCTTCTTAGTGCATTAGTAATACGTCATACATGCATAGACAGCAATAAGTCATTAAACAAGAAATGTGTTGACAAGAGGGCCTGAGGCTCTCATAAAGACAAGTTCTCCAGGCGAAACATTCAATCCAGCAACATTTTATGTTCGACTTTTTCAATTCAAACCTCCCTCTTTCCATAAACTACTGTCTTGCTTGAACTGTCATAGACAGAAGTGTTGTGGCTCAGGCAAGTATGTTATCCATGAACTTAGTTTGTATTAGTGCGGCCCATATAAAAGGGAAAAAAAAGCAAAAGACGACACAGACGTCTAGAGAGGTAGCCGCTGATTGGCGCTATTTGCGTCAGTCTTTCTTGACGTCCGTGTCGTCTTTTACTTTTTATTTGTGCCGCGCTAATACAAGGTAATATCATAAACAGTAGAATCTTATGTGGCCAAGCCACAACTAATCCTCTAGTCACACACATCATGCATACCCTCTACAAAGAAGATACAGTATTTGGGCAACAGAAATGCACACACACATAGGATTAAATTATGGATTAGCTAAGTTGTTGCAACCCAGTGTACCAACTAAAGGCTTTTCTACAGAGGCAAAATTCTGCAAGAAGCAACAGGTTTGTTTACACTAAACACACATTATCTGTATAAGACAAGGAAAAAGCACAGAATAGACAGCAAGATGAAAATAACAAAAAATTAAAAATCATGGCTTGTCATTATGCATGTCCTATTATAAGTCCCATAGGCATGAGCAACCACATAAACTGCTCTGGAATTCAGATGCACACGCCCTGGTACTGATACAGCAAGTTGAGTTGTCCTGCCAAGTTCAGTGGGTTAGAAACAGAATGTCAGAATCGCATGAAAGTCAGCTTGGCATAGGAGACTTTCTGTAAACCACACAAATGAGGGTAATTGTATGTATTGATTACATGTACCCAAAGGGGCATTCACCTACTTTTCAAAGCTGAGAACACATAAAACGGGTGGTGCCTTTCTTTCTATCTACGTTACCACAGGTATTTTTTCCGGAGACTCAATAGTAAGAAAATACATATTTAGGGAGTCATGTTTACTTCTTTCATTTATGGTCAACATTATGCTTTCCCTCAGCAGAATGTTAAATAAAGAAATCTTGTGTCTAGCTTTCTTTTTCTATGGTGAACTTATGGTATTTAGTAAAGATTGCAAGCGTGCCATCAAATGAAAGGTGCCCAAGAGTAACAAGGGCGTTATGACAGGGGTAGTGGACTACAGCGACAACTACAATGCACAACTGCGGCTTCTGCATTTGTTAGAACATTCAAGAGGCATGCACCTGTCCAAGTTTAGCTCAAGAAAATTACGAGCCCTGTGGGTCTATGATGTGACAAGTAGGGCATAATAGACCTGTTTGAAGGTTGAAGTTAAGAATGATAATCTTTCTAATGAGAATGTTGCTTCATGCTGCTCGCGAAAAATATTTCGCATGCACATTCACTGACAGCATTGTCGACTGATCCGACGTGTTATGTCACAATGTTCCCAATGTCCTCCAGTGCCTGCGCCTTAAACAAACAAAGATAGTGTCCTTGGGCATAGGACAGAAGGCCAGACATTTCACACACAAGTCTACAGTGAAAGTTTGAACATGCTATTTGTGCATTTCCCCATCACCAAGCAATTTCACCTTGTTCCATGCCTACCTCTTATGTTCCCAGAAAAAAACTGGTTCTCTGCAGTAGTGACTGCAACAAATAAGCATGCAGGCAGCACACTAATAGTATTTTCAGGTAAGTCCGACTGAAGAACAATGCAATCACCGATAGGCAGGACTCTGATGAAGGGGAAATAGTGATGTGTAGATACTGAACTGGGAGCGAATTTGGTGGCAACAATATTTGACCACTGCCCATACTGACGTCATCATAAACGCCACCACATATTAATGCACCTAGGTGAACACATGTACAGGGGCCATTAAAAGTTCCCAGGCCACTATCTTATGTATTTCTATAGCAGCATGACCTGGGAATTTTCGATGGCCCCTCAACTTTCTGGCAATCACAATGCCACACATGCATGTAAGCCTCACTGCTTGTTAGATCTCTGATACATTATTGCTAACTAAGGGTTTTGCATGTTAAAGGCGTTACATCAAAGGCAAAGAAAGGTCTTCTCAAGACGCAAAATACTATGAAGCCTACCTGCATGCCTTACACGAGAATGTATGAGTGTAACAAAGCTACACAAAGCACAACATTGCAATGTTTTAATTTCATGCACTCCAATAAGAACAAAAGGCACTGTGATTTTAGTTATAAAAATATATAGAAGTTTTCCACATGTGGCCTCATTTCGGTGAGGCTGTAGGCAAATTTCACCAAAACGGGTCATAGTTTAATGTCGTCAAAAAATATGACATGGAGTACACTCTAAGAGGAGGCCAATACAGGAAACCTTTCACAATGAGGCAGACTGGTACATACTCATGTTACAGAACACATTTCGCTTTTCCAGGTAAAATGATTGATTGATATGTGGGGTTTAACGTCCCAAAACCACTATATGATTATGAGAGACGCCGTAGTGGAGGGCTCCAGAAATTTAGACCACCTGGGGTTCTTTAACGTGCACCCAAATCTGAGCACACGGGCCTACAACATTTCCGCCTCCATCGGAAATGCAGCCGCCGCAGCCGGGATTCGAACCCGCGCCCTGCGGGTCAGCAGCCGATTTTCCAGCTAAAAAATGAATGGAAACGAATTGTGGTTCCAGTCTTGAAAAAAAAAAATAAGAAAGAAAGGGAGATCTGCAGGCATGTACAGACCATAAACAAGTAACTTGTAGATGGCCTATGCATAATTTTCTTCATAGCAGGTATTCACATATCAGATGGTAACATGACAGCTGTAACACTTCGATATTCTGAAGTGAACAGTTTACTGGGCACATCAATTCAGACAAAACTTATCTTAAATCCACAGATTTCCATAACAGAAATGTTGCTCACATGCATGTAAATTGGCAATAAACTGCTATGAGGACACCATGTTAGTTGTTGCAAACGCGTTAAGCCATGCCCGGCTCGACAAGCCTCCGGCACTGATGTCACACCCTGCCTACTGAAATGTAGCTGTTTTCACAATTATGTCTATGCACTATAGGCTATGCAAGTAAGAAAAAGTATGGAAAGCTGTATGCACAAGACTACAAGTATGAGAACGATTTACAGTAAACGCTATTGCATTGAGTAGAGGTATGTCATGACGCCTGCCAATTCCTAGTAAGCTTCTGCACATTACTCCAAATTCTGAAGTGTAGCACATGGAACACTGCACATGATAATTTTAATGAAAGGAGCACCTTGCAAATGCTGTCTATGACACATACTGCATTTCCAAATCGATCAAAGGTTTGCTTCCACGGGAAAAAACTACGCATGTTTTTCACAGCCAGCATTATGTAATTGCTGGCTGAATGACGCAATAAAATGAGGGCCACACACAAATGTCGATGTCAAAACACACACAAAATGTGCTACCAATAAATTAAACATAACTTAGAACACTTTCAAGCACCAATGCCACATCCATAGCCAAATATATAATAGGAAAACTTTATTTATTATTTGGTTTATTTATTCCTTAAAAATAGTCACATGGTTCTAGTTTCAATACATTCCACTCAAAAATGGCACATTTTGTTCAGTAGTGGGTATATCGGAGTTTTGCTGCATGAGGAGAAAAAAAATAATTAGGCTGACAAACAGGCCATTCAAATTAAAGCAAACGCCGAATGCAGCAGTATTGGTCACCTTGGGATACAAGCACTGAGCTATTGCGTCAAACTACATCACAGAACCTTACATAGCCCGACAAATGTCAACTCCCATCAGTCAGGTGGTACGCAGATGCAACATGGAGGAGACACATGAAAGTTAACCTGAAATATTTTTCTGCTTGTGTCATAGGGTGAGAACTCGGTTGTCCAGATTTTGCTCCTCCAATGGAAAGGGTGACATGTTCGGGCTCTCGAAGGCAACTTCAGCGCATGACTAGGCTTGCTTATGTCAAAGTTCCCACAATGCATCCGCATACTTCCTAAGATGAACGCCTTTCAGTCTGCAATGCCGGCCTTATTGCAGCTCTGCACAAGCCCCAAAATTTCTTTGGTAAGAGTTCCTTGTTGGAGGCAGTGAACTTCCATCCAACATGGCAGTGGCAACCAGCGCACTGCAGGATTGTCCATGCGTAACCGGGGAACCAGCTGTACAGGGTGCTCGGTCGACCAAAGAGGTATATGCCAGTGGCTTTGCGCACAGTTATCATTTCGTGTACGTATCCATGAGGATTCACGTAGGCACCCTGCGGTCCGCTCTGAGACATGCTGAACACATCGCTCCTGTCGGCCATCTTTTGGTTGCACTCCTTGCACGTCAGCACTCGGCAGTCGCGAAGAATGGCCAATTCACACCGCAGCCGCTGTACAGGGTTGTCGTAGGACAACATTTCCAGGCGCAGCTTGTCGTCCAGCAGAAGATTGCTCGCAACCCAGTAAGAAAAGCGACACGGGTCGCGCGGCAGGCTCAAAGTGGCAAAATTATCAGTCCACTCGCGCAGTTCCGTCTCTATTTTTGAAACCAGTAGGTTGGCGTCGTACTGTCGGTACACCCAAGATGGCCAGGCCGTCATGTGGGCAAAGCCGTAGGGGTCCTTGTGGCGGTCGCTCGGAGAGTACCGAAACGTTGAGCGGCCCTTAAGTCTCGATAGGCTTGGGAGTCGAGCGGCTTCCCCGACGTCTGCGGTAGGCTTGTCGGGAAGTATTTTAATGCTAGCCATGAGAATGCCGTCCATTCTGGTCCAAGAGCTCACAATGCGGAACCTCTGCCGCCCTTCGGCTTTCACTACAAGTGTCGTTACGCCTGACAGCTCGTCCATTTCCACTTTGTAGGACCGTATTTCGGCAGTAGTGCCGTGCGCCTGCAGTGAAGACGCCATCGAGTTTTCGCCAACGATACCAAACGTGCGGTCGTTTTCTATGATCCTGTGCATCATGGCTATCTCCAGGGGGCGAAATATCTGAAGCGGCAACACCTGGCCTGGCACCAGTGTCACGTCGTGAGATGTTAGTACCGGTATCGTTTGCAGGCTGTCTTCTTCGAAGACAGTCCTGCCTGTGAGGTCTTCCATATCGTTACCGAGGTAAGTGTGCTGTGCTGGCAGCGAGGTGTCATAGGAGACGTCCATGTCGGAGGCCGACGCAGAGTCCTCCTCCTCGTCAGCGTCTTCAGCCCTTGGAACAAGGTGTATTATGTCATCGGCCATCGGTTCGCCACGCTGCCACACCAGAAACTTTTTGTTTTAGCTCGCTATGACGCTTGTGCGCAGTCTTTCACAGCATACTCAGAAAACGAACGGCGCCATATTTGTTATGATGCCTCCAGGCGCACCGATAACGAGAGTATAGTAAATGTTTTGCTACTTGTTCTACAGATGGCGCAGAGACCGCAGGTGCACGTGCGGCCAAAGGTGTCTTTGGTGCGGCGCGCGCACTTGCGTTTTGCCACGTACGTTTCATGCCCCGTGCTCAAACCGAACGGCGTTTTCGTCTGTTAAAAGGCCCGGAATCATTTATGAGCATCTTCGTGGTTTGTTTTCGAGCCGAAAAAAATTCGGCTGCCGCTTTCCAGGGAAGTTCACTTAAAATTTACGCTTCGACCAACATTTTCCTGTCATTCGCAACGTGACATATATATATATATTTATATATATATATATATATATATATATATATATATATATATATATATATATATATATATAGGTATGGGATATGGCACAACGGGAGCGTTGTCAACAAGGATAAATATATTTATTTCCCAACAGTTTCGGGAGGGGTCCTCCCTTCATCAGTGGATGAGTTATACTGACATGTTAACTCATCCCCTAATGAAGGGAGGACCCCTCCCGAAACTGTTTGGAAATATATATATTTGTCCTTGTTGACAACGCTACCGTTGTGCCATATCCCATACCTTCACCAAGACTAACTGGCCCATTGAATTATTACTCCCATCATATATATATATATATATATATATATATATATATATATATATATATATATATATATATATATATATATATATATATATAGCGAAACCTGATTCAACGGTCCCACAAGTGCACACACACACACACATACAAAGGAAAAAATAAAATACTCCCCGCCTCACCCTAAGCTCAACCGAGCCCAGTCAGGCCCAGTCAGGCCCAGTCCGTTCAGTGGCGGCAATTACAAAACAGGCACCAACACTCCCGTAATTATGAAGCATATTTACCCCGATTTGTATAGGATCGATTCGTGCAAGTATTGTATAGTAATGGGGCCACACTGGCGCATGTTCTCTGGGAGTTCCCAGCACTAATTGGCAATGTGAGAGACGCCGCCTCCAATGAGGACCTTTGGGAGCATTGGCGGACCGTGCTACTCTTCCCTCTATCCCCTCTATCTTCAATCTCCCCATCTCCCTCTCTTGCGCAGGGTAGCAAACCGGCAGCCTATAGACTGGTTAACCTCCCTGCCGTTCTTTTCCTGCTATTAATTTTCCTTCCTTCAGCTCAGGACTAGATAATCAACTCTGGGTGATCCAGCAGGCCACGGAAGCAGCTGAGAGACATGACCTCTCGGCCGACTCCTAGGCGAGAACCCAGCCCGGTAACTTGCAAGAAGTGAATAAGGTTGTTCCCTCACTCACAGAACACCTGGCCACGGCCTCTGGATCAAAGCGCACAGGGTGCGCTTTGATCCAGCGGCCGTGACCTTGCTTACTCACTCTTGCATCGAAGCGGAGCAACTTCCAGGTACCGTGGCGCCACTTTGCGGTGGCGGCCGGAAGCTCTGTTAGATGGTTGAAGTTTTGGACCTGCTTCAAACATCAGTTGTCACTGCTTGCTTTCCCGCGTTTGTGGTCGTTTTGCAACGTTGTGAACGTCCTCGATGTTACCGAAACCGTTTGAGTTTCTCAAGACAAAGGTGAAGTCGAAACAAAAAGAAAAATCCAACTGATCTCAGTCGACGAAAGCTCACTGATGGCGAGCTTCGATGCTCAGACTATATACACCGTGAGGAAAAGTAAGACTCCCGTTCAAATCAGCGCCCCGAAAAACCATGAGCGGTCAAGGTCGAGGGTTAAAATTAACAGGCAAATAACTGAAACCCGTGAATGTATGTAGTACCTATTTTGTGTACGAGTGCAGTAACTTCCAGATTTGTAGTTTTCGCGCTTAGACCGTCTGCTCGACACGGCCGCTGTGCAAACAGTACCAGAACTAAATTAGGAATGCGTTTTGCCCCTATAACAGATTGAAAAGACTGGTTTCAGAACGTTCATCCCATCATTACACACACATCTGAGGCGTCTGCGAAGTGCCTCCATGACCTTCAGATCTGCAGCAATTTGTTTTCGGCCTTCCCTGCTGATGGCATTTGTGTGTGTGTGTGTGTGTGTGTGTGTGTGTGTGTGTGTGTGTGTGTGTGTGTGTGTGTGTGTGTGTGTGTGTGTGTGTGTGTGTGTGTGTGTGTGTGTGTGTGTGTGTGTGTGTGTGTGTGTGTGTGTGTGTGTGTGTGTGTGTGTGTGTGTGTGTGTGGTTTCTGCCTCATACCATGCTATCTTTTGCACTTCTCAAACACCGTAAAATAGAATAGTAACGGGAACGTCCCCTCTTAAACGTGGAAATTGTATATTACCACTGGTTTCGCTCGTGCTGCTTGCCGGAGTCATTCTCTTGATATTCTGTTGTTGTTATTTAAGTCAAGAAAGCACCCTAAAATCATATTGCCGGCAATATGACATGGTGCTTGCGCTCGGCATTGAAAAACACAAACTTTTTCGTTAGCTTACTCTGCTTCGTGCTTTTAGGTGAGCTGAACAAGCTTTGCGCAGAATACAACGCAAGGTAAGCTGTAAGACAAGTTAAAGCACGTCTGCGAAAATGTTTCTCACATTACCAAGAATTTTGTACTGAACCTCCCATTATAATAATTTCCCAACATGACACCAGGCGTTGCGCGCGATTATGCACAATGCCTGGTGAATATTGTACGCGTGTGTCTTATTTACAATTTAGCGCATCTTTATCTAGCCAATGTGCTACCCAGCATTTATTTACTTAATATATTATGTTAGTGATCCCCTACTTTCTCAAAAACATAAATCGAAGGCCCACCGAAGCGCGGAAAATCGCAGTCTTCGCCAAAAGTGTACTTTCCGGTATCGTCTCTTTCGGGGCGATCCTCTCAACTACGGCTGTGTTGGATGTACCCTCGCGCCACCTATGTTATCACGATGTTGCCGGACTCGCTCGCTGAATTTCGTGCCGAGCGGTTGTGCCACCGCGATCTCCGACGACAGTGCAGCTCTGGCCGACTGGACTCGCCCTACGCCATCTCCTGACGCCGACAAGAGCTCTCGTCGAGTGGTGCCCCATCCTCGGACTTCTGCGACCCTGTCCATCTTTCCTATCTTCTACTTACTTCCGTATGTGGCTGTCCCTGCGCCTCCCCCCCCCCCCATGCTTCTCACTCTATCTCAATACCTTTTTTTCTATCTTGTTTTAATCCCTCCTTACCCCCATTCCTTGTGAGCTACTGTTGAGGTGTCCTCCCCTCGAGAGACAGTTACGGATCTCACTTTTATCTTCTTTTCATTTAAGAATCACATCCCCCTCCTGTTTCTGGCAAGTTAATTTTGCGACCCTGGTCTTTCTATCTTGCTAGGTTTCTTTCTTTGTCTCCCTCTCCTCTATTCTCTGTGTACGTCTTTTCCGGTCTCTGTCTATTGATATTTTTTTCTCGCTTTCTTTGTCTTAGGAAGTTTCCCACCTTTCTTTCTCTATCTTTTGTTTCCCTCTCTCCCTCTCAATCAGAATTTGTCGCTTCCCTTGCTTTCTACCTCTTTCCTTGATTCTCTCCTCTTCTTTTTGTTTTGTTATTTCTATTCATCTACTTCTTTTTACGCTATGATTTACTATATCCCCTGTACCTCAACCTCATATCTGTTCTGATACCCACTTCCCTTGCAAGCCTGGATAGCAGACTGCTTGATACCAGGGGCAAAGGCGAAAAAAAAATCACAGCATATCCAAAGGGTGAATGAGGATGAGTGGGCGAAGCTCCGGAGAGAATCATCGGTAAACCGTGAATCTTCCGTGTAATTCGCCGAGTCGACGATCATTTCCGCTACCAAAATCCCGCTCTCGTATGGCGGGATTTTGGTAGCGGTGTCGTGCAGCGTCACGGCGCGACGCCGCTACCAAGATCCCGATTAGCATCTATTTGCAAAGTAGTTACGAGACCTGGCGTAGCTATGTGGTAAAATGCTTCATAGCCACGTAGAATGCTTGCGTTTTATTCCAGCTGAGAACCTGACATTTATTCATTGCATTCGTCGGGTCTACGCTACCAATGTTGGGTGTTTAGTAACACTCGTGCGTTAGAATTGCCTACGTGTGTTCTCGTGGTTCATGTCAATCACTTGTGGCACATACCCGCATACTAGCAGCACATACCCGCCTGTGGGCATGTGCCACTGTCTGGCGGGAAATGTTTGACGACGTACGTGACGGAATTGTGACATTATTCATGACTTGACTAGCGCGTCATATTCGTCAAGATATCTTACCCTCCCATGCTAATTTTGGCTCACGCCAAACCGACACTGGTCAGCATATTCTACATTCTCTTGGAATCCAGATACCCGCCAATGATCCCACATTACTCCCCATACCAAGACCCCTGCACCGCGAACTCCTCATTACACCACTTCCCGGTAACATGCACCCCGACCACCACGATAAACGTCGCAGAGCTCGCGCTAAAACTCTACACCTATGTTACGGCGCCGAACCAGACGCCGTATGGGTAGACGCAGCCTGCGTGGGTGATGAAGCGGTCGCTGCCGTGGTGGATCACAATCTCTCTCCCATAGGTACACACACACTCCCTCCAGACACGTCCCCCGAAGCTGCAGAGGAAGCTGCCATTGCCTTAGCAATCGTAAACACAGAAGCACGGTACGTCTTATCAGATTCCAAAACAGCAATCTTAAATTTTGCACGAGGCCGAGTTCACGTCCCTGCTTTTTGCATACTGGATTCGCCCGCTGCAACCCCGCCCCGTCAAGTGGAGTTGATTTGGGTGCCCGCGCACTGCGGGAATCCTGGAAACGAGGCCGCCAACCTCTTAGCCCGAGGTTCTTTAAACCGGGCTCCCGCGGCCTCCGATCTGGGATTCACGAAGGACCGCGCGCACACTTTCAACGAGCTGACTCAGGCCTATAGGGCAGCACGTCAGCTATATCCCCCACCGCACAAGTCCCTGAGCAACCGACAGGCAACCCTCTGGCGCCAGCTACAAACTCACACTC